CACCAACTGGAACGACGGCAGCTTCGGCCACCAACTTCACCACCCACAACATCCCTCAGACCTTCAGCACAGCCATTCATTGCACCAAATGTGGTAAGAGCTTTGACAACATGCCTGAACTGCACAAGCACATCTTAGCTTGTGCTAATGCTAGCGACAAGAAGCGATACACTCCTAAAAAGAACCCTATACCACTTAAGCAGTTTGCAAAAGCGCAAAATGGGGTGTTATCACCTGCAAGGATTGTTAATAGTAAGCAGAATTTCTCGCAAAAGGTCGGCCAACCAAAAAAACTGAACTGGATAAAAATGAGTATCCTGAATAAGAAGAAATCTCAGCTGGTGCAAAGGGGCAGACCTGCTGGGGTAAGAAAGGCCTTTGCTCAGGATGACCTGGGCGTTTTTGCATGTCCTCACTGTAGGAGAGAGTTTACATACAATGCTAGTTTAAAGAAACACGAAGCTTTTAGCTGTCCCATGAGAACGGCCAGTAGAAACTCCAAAAAAAGAACACTCAGCATTGTTTCAGCCCAGGAGAACAACGGGAGCCTTCGCAGACAAATTGCAAATATGAGCGCAAAGCCACAAGGGTCAGGCCACGGGCCAAAAACAATAACAAAGAATCAGATCATTAAGCAAAAAGCAGCAGTTGATACCACTCAGGATTTTAGGCTTAAAAGATCTACCATTCTGTCAACATCTGTGGTTCAATCTAGTAAAAAAGGCAAGCCTATGGAGCTAAAGAGCGGCTTTATGCCACAGCTGGCTTCAAAGCAGATAGTCCTCTCATCTGTCGCTCAGGTTAACTCTCAGGAGCCAGGTGTTCGGGTACATGTTTTAAGTAGAAAAATGGAGCAGAGAGTGGGTGACATAAAGATACAGCCCAGAAGAGAAGACCGTTTGTCTCTGAGGTTGAGAGAGAGAGTAGGAGGACCTATTACTCGCAGTGTGCAGCAGGCCAGCAACACAACAACAGCCCTTAAACAGCCAGACAGTCACAACATTATCATGCACCCTGTTGTTCTCCAAGTCAAGAAATGAGACTTTAAAAAAAAGATTATTGATGTCAATTATCTGTTTTCTTAAAATGCCTCCTTAAAGGGTTAGTTCAGTCAAAAATGAAAATTAGGCTGCGTTTCACTCACCCCCGATGCATCCTAGGTGTATAGGACTTTCTTCTTTCAGACGAATCCAGTCGGAGTTATATTAAAAATTGTCTTTGATCTTTCAAGCTCTATGGTTGTACATTTATCTGTAAATATGATACATCTAAATATTGGACACTATTTAAACTTAAAATGATGGCTTTTTAATTTACTGTCTCGAACCACAGCAGGCTATAATTTATACATTCTAAACATTATAAAATCCCATTACTGTCTATTCACATAATAACACATCAACATATCAACTTCTCATTTGTAAATACATTTGCTGTCTGGAAAATTTTTAATGTGCTAATACAGGTGGCGATATTCCTGGATATCTGTATTTAGCTTCTATACTCTGCTCTAACACAAATGTGTGTGGTTTTCAAATGACCTTGATAAGCTGGTTTAGGTGTGTTAAAATTAAACCCTGAACTCATGCACTTTATGCTGTAGTTTGTATTTACCTGGTTTTAAATGCATTGCAATGCAATGAATCCATTACTACTCATTATTTATTAATGTAAGTATTCTATGTTTAAAAGAAGGTGTGTTCAGTGGGCTTCACTGGAGCACAGATATTATTGTAATGGTTACTCACTTCTATTTTTGTAGATTGTGTTAGTTGTGTTTTATTGAATAGATGCAGTCTGGACTCTTCATGCATGCCAGAGATTTCATGTTTGAGTGATAGTGTGTTTAAGTGTTTATATATCAGACTCTGTACTGTAACAAATGCAGCAGGAGAGGAAAAAGAAGGGTCAGATCATACTGCATACTTGACAACATCTGCACCTCAAGGAGCGGGAGAAAATTATATTCTGCTCACATATAAGATTTATGAATATACAGTATGTCAAAAGTCTCTGTATTTCTTTCACCTTTACTTTTTTTGTGCTATCCTCCTACTGCAAATATCTGGCAAGTGGTCAATTGAGTCATCATATTTAATAGGTCTCATTTTTTGATGCACATGTTGGGGAAGCATTGGTGAAGATATTTATTTGCGAAATAAGAAAGCATTTGCCATTGGCACCGATAGCCTTGAGGGCAGCACGCCGGCATATAGCTGTTGTGCTACGTGCATCCCGACTTTGAATCCTGGCTCGAGGACCTTTCCTGATCCCACCCCCCCTCTCTGTCTCACTTTGCTTCCTGTCACTTCTACACTAATAAAGTCAACAAAAAAAAAGAAGAAGAAAGCAGTTGCCATCAGGTTTTGAAATGTAGCCCTAAAGACGATTGTTAAATTTGCACAAATTAGTGTCCTGCTGAGTGAACATTCTGATGGTAAACATGGTATTATACTAAACAAAAGGCCTGGAAGGGTCAATGATTTATAAATCATTATGAAGAATAGATGCAATGTTACAGAATAATATTTATTTTAATTAGAAGACTTGTTTTTTAATTAGGTCAATTGTAATGTTTTAGAACAAGAGGTCAAAAGTTCATTAAAGCTAATATGAACACTGAATTGAACACAATGATTGATTGTTGTGACTGAAAATGTTCCCAAAGCATGCCTGTTTGAGACGTTTACAGTACTAATATCAGAACTTGTCCTCTGGAGAGAAATCTGGACTCTATTTAGTCATTAACCATCTCACATCTCCATTGATTTGTGGCATTCATATTCTTGACCCAAAATAGGTTTGCAGGCTTGAAGGGTTTCAGAAGTTTCCTTAATGTGAAATGTTTGTGCATTCTGGGAAATGGTAAAATAATGTTCAACATCTCAAGGATTGAGTTGAATATGTATACTTTAGAAACCTTGTTCTTGAATGATTGAATAAATTACTCTGTTTTAAAGTTCATTTGATGAATGTGTTTCGTTTTCATTGCCTGATTGCATGGTCACAAAAAAAAGAAGAGAAATCTTCTAAAGCCTAAAGGACTGTTGGTCCCCCCCTTAGGCAACCCAAACAACCCGAACAACAGACACTATATGATAAGCATATAAAACACATCAGTATTTTTTTTTTATCCTACCCAAACAATTATGCATCATGAAAGTGAAGGATGTCATTGACATTTCAGATGCATTCCAACAGCTCTCACAAGCTTCATAAACACAAATTGTTATATTTCTGAATATGATTAAAAACAATTTTGTCTTTTTTACTCATATGAAGAATATGCAAAACCAGAAATGTGACTTAAGTATCCTCTCAGTTACTAGTTCAGTCCACCATTACTCAAAATATTTCAGTTAGCATATCAGATTTTAAGTGCTACTCTAACCACCCTAAATAAAGGTTTATTATCATATGCAGTTTAATAGATTAAATTAGTAAACAGACGTGTGGTGACAAAGGAGGGGTAGAGTTTTTATTTAAATGTATTTTGTAAATGGGAGTGTTTATTGTTTACTTAGAAGAATGAAGAAAAAATCCAACATTTATATTTATTATGCTATATATTTTACGTAAGGATGTTATTATGCTAATCAAAGCTTCTTCAATATGTCAGTGGTATAAAGCATGTGTTGATGTTATACTAATAATAACCACTGGGTGGCAGCATCGACTCGCCTCACAATCGCATCACAACGAAATTTACATCTCCGTCGCCCACATGGTGTCTTCTAGTTTTCATTGTGTAGAAGTAATGCATTTGCGATGCATTAGCTGAAGGAAAGGTTTAATTTGTCCCATCATATAAAAGCACTTTGGGGAAATGAGAGGGCCGTGGTTTTATAAACATTATTCAGGCTGCGCACTGTATGTTGTAAGTTTCGACAGAAAATAAATAAATAACGAGTATCACGCCATAAATGTTCCGCCCTGAAAATATTTCTTGAAAGCTGATTGGTTAAGGAATTTGGCGCTGGGGGTTGATGGACGTGTTAGGTCGAGATAAGGGCAGGACCAACAGTCCTTTAGGCTGAAATGAGGATTTACTGCATCGTGTTATTTCTGTGAACGTTATAGATCATATTTCACAGCGAATTGAACAGATTCATTTGAGAGAGGGCTGTTTTTTGAAAACCCTTTATTTACTTGCAGGTTCAGTAATGTCTGCATCTAAAGCCTGTTCTCTCACCCTCCCCTCACCCTCTCTCTCTGCCTCTCTGGGTGTAAACAAAGCCGACGTGGGTCATTTGTCGTGGTATGATTTCGCAATGAGAATAGTAAAGGTTCCGCATCCCTGACGCATCATATAAAGAGCCGATGTATTCGGAATTAAAACCATAAAAGAAATTAAACAACGCTGTGAACGTTGCTCTGGGGCATAGTGGTATATTGACTCAAATTTCCAGACTGACGACTGACAAGTTATCCATATCCGACATCTGCCTTTCCAAGAAAAGAATCTTCAGTGTTTTGTTGTTATGTGGTTGCCACGACACTAAGAAAACGCTGGTTGAGCTACACAAAAGAGCAAGGATGCGCTTGCAGACGCGCTCGCTCCCCACCTCCTCCGGGTGGGGGATTCTTCTCTCAACCGTTCCTATTTTTTTTTGACCGTTTCAACACGTAGCATGAGCGAGAGGCGTTGGTATCCAAACTAAACCAAACCAAACCTCCCCGCGCCCGGTCTGAACCGGTTCGGGGGCAGCGCGCGCTCTTGGAGACTCCCTCCCCTCTCGCTCGCTGAAATTCCTGCCACGCGCTCACACTAACGACACAAAAAACCTTAGCAGAGAGCGCGCGCGCGCGCACACGTCACCCCTCCTCTCTGCCTAGCTCCCCTAACATCTCCCATTGGCTCCTGCGGCCGTCTCGAGCCTCCTCTTGTAATCGCTTCTTATTGGTTGGCGGTGAGGACTCTGTCCTGCGATTGGTCGATGTGAGTGCGAGCCCTTCTCGCTCATTGGCTGGTGCGGGCCGTGCATGAGCGCGAGGGAAAGAGTTGTAAACGCAAAGCGCGTGCTGGAAAAAGCCGAGGCGTAGGGCTGAGAGCAGCGCGAGCGTCGGAGATCAGCAGGGCATCACTCGTCACAACATCCAGCCTCTCATTCGCCCTCTCTCCATTTTGTCGCAATTTTTTCGTTTTTATCATTGAAGTCTAAATCGTAGGGAGTGATAGGACCCGAGTTCCGCAGCGAGGCGTTTGTTAGCCCGTGTTGGGGGCAGTTTCGGTTGCCCCTCAGTGGGGGGAGTGCGTTATCATATTTCGGTTATTTGGGAGGCAAAACCGCAGCCTCTCACCGCGTGTTCGTAAAAAAATCGATTTTAGGTGTGTTGCTGCGTGATTTCAGATCTGCTTAGACCGGATTACCTGGGATTTTAAAAAAAGCAGTGCCGCGGCTCTTTGTGTGGTTTCAGCTTTGTGTCCCTGTTGCAAGCTACCCGAAGTTCCGCACTCCGAGCTCCACAACATGTGCTCCCGGGTGTGGTTTATCACAGACCGGCGGATCAGCCAGGAGTACCCGCAGGTCCAGATCCTGCGAGCTCTTAAGGAGCGCTGCGCCGAGGACGATGTTGAATTCCGCTATCTTCTAATGGATGAGATCGTCCTGACCATCACGGATGGACAGCTCGGTAAAAACCGCACACACACACGTAACGTACATACACATTCCTTCTGTACGAGCACGGAAATTGTTTTTGTGTTTAAACTGTTGAGTTGGCTAAATAACTGGTCAGTGTGGATGGTTAGCGCGCTCGCATTGAGCGGATGTACATCACCGTGTGAGTGTGTTTTATGTAGATGTGCATGTGGGTGACCCCGCCTAACCCACTTTCAACCAGTCAGCCACCACAACCTAGCCGATGGATAGGAGGCCGTTTAAAATCGTTGAGAAATTGTTGTAATCTTATATGGAATATTTGGTATTTAAATACTGACGTGAATGTGTTCATATCAGCGTTTATTGTTGCACCATGTGCGCGCGAATGAGCGGACAGTCACGAGTGTGCGGCGCGAGCGCGTTCATTATCAACACATAAAGCCTCGAGCGCAGATGGCGCGACGTTCACAAAGACCCGTTATATTAAGGTGCTACACTCTTGATAATTTAATATTTTTTTCTTTTATCTTTTTTTGGGTGTTTATATTTAATGCGCAAGGTTTGGTCCAATAAATGAACTGAGATGTTATGACGCATTCGCGCGAGGTTCCACATACAAAGGGCTTGAATAGAAATAATCGATTCGTCACGTGCAAACCTCGGTTGAAATAATTTTAAAAACGTTTAATCAATCGGAGGATGTTTGTACCGTCGTTTAGACGGTTATTGATGTAATAGCATCACGGTTTGGTAGCCATACTGAAGATACAGATATTGTCTAATGAACTTGATGTATCCGGGATGCTTAAAGATATACACACACGCACACCTATATCGAATCCTGTTAGTCATGGATTAATCTATATTGTTTTACCAGTTTAGCTTTATAGCCACTTACATACTTAACCACTTGAACATCTGAGACAACAATGGTTTCTATACCAAAGATGATTTCAGGTCACTTTAACACCAAGTGTGTGAATTTGGAGCATGCAGAATCCACTAGAATATGAATAAAACATCTGTGGTGGTCATGCTGTTTAAATTAAATGGACAGTTCACAAAAACAACTTTCATTTAGTCACCCATATGTTGTTCCAAGCTGATTTTCCTCAATGGCCTACCAAAGGAGATGTTAGGCAGAATGTTAGAGGCTGGCAGCCTGAGTCACCATTCACTTTAATTGCATCTTTCTTTCCATGCAAAGCAAGTGAATGGTGACCGAGTCGGCCATTCTGCTTAACGTCTTCTTGGAAGCAAGATGGGTTTGGAACAACATGAGGGTGAGTAAACGACAGTGATGTTTTCATTTTCATCTCAACTGTCCCTTTAATAACCAGCTAACAGCGAGTTGCAAAGTGAATGATCTGAGTCATTGACACCAGTGTTGCCATTGTGGGTGGGTGGGGCTGTTTTTCTTTGAGGTGACAGCATTTATTTTAGGGGCAGCAGATGGGGACTGGGACATAGTGCATTTTGCATGGACCTGAGGTAAAGGGAGTGGCTATGCACCAATGCAGTTATGCTTTGAATCAGCTACTTTAAGTTTAGTGGTGTGTCTTGCAACATGAAGGACAGCCAGTCTAACAGGAAGACCCGAACAGACAAGGTAATTGAAGGAGAGAGGAACTGAGACCATATTGACCTACTTTAATGCAAAGGTAGACGGCTGTCTGGAGAGCATGACAGCAGAACAACTGGTGCAGGTTGTTGGCATGTCATATTAGTCTGTGTGTTTGTTTAATCTGCTGGCCTGGATCCTGTCTTGGTCCGATTAAGAGGTGGTTGTCAGTAGGTCAGCTTTGGGATTTGAACCCCCAGAGATCCTGACATTCTGCTGAGTTACATCAATGTGAGACACATGGAACGGAGTAGGTCAACACTTGATCATGATCTCTTGTGTCAGTAAAAACACTGCAGTTAAAGACCAGCGTCTTAAATCAAAATTCCTGAACATGTCTCATTTAATTGAGAGATGGTGCAAATCTATTAGTGAACCTGTTGACAGGTGCTGCAAGAGTGTGTATAGTTATCTTATCACCTGCTGTGTGTGTTGCGCCACATGCGGCAATCAAACAATCAATGGGTAATTGAGGATCAAGACTTGTGACTGTGATTTTTTTTTTTTCACTTGATTGATGGTGTGAGCGAAGTGCGTGCTTGTTACTTTTTGATGTCAAGTGTCCATTCCTCTAAGAGATGCGAAAAGTAACACCAATTTAAAGTCTCGCACATGCACAAACTGCAAGCATGCTGAAAAACACAAAAACATGCAGATAATGCACACATGTGACTGTATTGGACTGTAGTTGGCAGTAAGTGAAACTTCAGACCGTAACGATTTAATCAACCACTTCCCAAGACATTTCATTATATAAATAAAATCCTGAGGAAGATTTTATAGATATAGAGGAGGATGAAGAGGTGCTTAAATGTCATTGGCATGTGTTGTTGTGCATTAAGATTGAGGTAGTTCCTCTTGATTATCTCAACTAGGAAAAAGCAAAATGCAGGTTCATAAACAAATGCGGAAGGCAGTTTACTTGAGTTAGGGTCCTCAGTGTTGGATGACAATACTGTGAATTCACTGGCTTTCAGGACTGAATATAGGGTTTCTGTGTTGTATTGTATACTAGTGTAATCATACAGGAATGAATGCCAGTTCTAGCCTTTAATGCTGCTTCAAACGCTCCAGCATCATCACCATCCCAAAGACACCCAAAATTACTGGACTTAATGACTACAGACTTGTAGCTCTAACATCTGTGGCCATGAAGTCATTTGAAAAACTGGTTCTGGCTTATGTGAAGGACATCACTGGACCCCCTGCAGTTTGCTTACCGAGCAAACAGGTCCGTGGATAATGCAGTCAACATGGGACTGCACTTCATTCTGCAACATCTGGACAAAACGGGGACTTGTGTGAGGATCCTGTTTGTGGACTTTAGCTCCGCTTTCAACACCATCATCCCAACACTCCTCCAGACCAAACTAACCCAGCTCTCTGTCCCTAGCTCTATCTATCAATGGATCACCAGCTTTCTGACAGATAGGCAACAGCTAGTGAGAATTGGTAAATTCACATCCAACAGCCGCACCACCAGCACTGGCACCCCTCAGAGTTGCGTCCTCTCCCCACTGCTCTTCTCCCTGTACACCAACGACTGCACCTCTAAAGACCCCTCTGTCAAGCTCCTGAAGTTTGCAGATGATACTACAGTCATCGATCTCATCCAGGACGGAGAGGAGTCATTCAGATTCCTGGGAACCACCATCTCTCAGGACCTGAAGTGGGACACTTACATCGACTCCATTGTTAAAAAGGCCCAACAAAGGTTGTACTTCCTTCGCCAACTGAGGAAATTCAACCTGCCACAGGAGCTGCTGAAACAGTTCTACTCAGCCGTCATCGAGTCTGTTCTGTGCACTTCAATAACTGTCTGGTTTGGTTCAGCTACAAAATCAGACATCAGAAGACTACAGAGAACGGTTCGGACTGCTGAAAGGATTATTGGTGCCCCCCTGCCTACCCTCCAAGAACTGTATACATCCAGAGTGAGGAAAAGGGCTCAGAAAATCACTCTGGATCCATCACATCCAAGCCATCTCCTTTTTGAACTTTTGCCATCTGGTCGGCGTTACAGAGCACCGAATACCAGGACAGCCAGGCACAAGAACAGTTTCTTTCCCCAGGCAATCTACCTCATGAACAGTTAATGTTCTCCCATTGTGCAATTAAAATATGTGCAATAACCTTATACTTATTTATCACCCTAAATCCTAGTACATCCCTACAACTTTATTTTATTCTATTCCTATTCTAACTATAGCACACCTGTACATACAATTTATTCTTGTTTTTGTGGTTTATATTTATGCATGTGTATTTTATTCACATCTCATTTTTATTATCTGTGTGTTGTTGTTGTCTCCGTGTACTGGAAGCTTGTGACACTATAACAAATTCCTTGTATAACGAATGTCTTACGGGTTTGAAACGACATGAGGGTGAGTAATTAATGACAGAATTTTTCTGTTCATTAGAATCTTAAAAGTATCACTGTTTCCATAAAATATTAAGCAGCACAACTATTTTTAACACTATTTTTAGCACCAAATCAGCATATTAGAATGATTTCTGAAGGATCATGTGACACTGAAGACATAAAGGGTTAGTTCACCCAAAAATGAAAATTAGCTTGTGTTTTACCCTCGAAGCATCCTAGGTGTATATGACTTTCTTCTTTCAGACAAATCCAGTCGGAGTTATATAAAAAATGTGTTTTACTTACCCTCGAAGCATCCTAGGTGTATATGACTTTCTTCTTTCAGACGAATCCAGTCAGAGTTATATTAAAAATTGTCTTTGATCTTTCAAGCTGTTTAATGGCACTCAGTGGGTGTTTCAGTTGAACAGTCCACAAGTCGTCAAATAAAGCTTGCACATTCATAATAAAACGTGCCGCAGATGGCTCCGGGGGATGAATAAAGGCCCCCTGTAGCGAATCCATGAGTTTTTCCATATTTCAAACGTAGTAAACACTTTTCTCTCACTTCTGTTATCTATCATACGCGGATCCATTCCGGCGGAAGGCGTATGACGTATGCGCAGCGCGCACCTCTGAGATATGCTAGTCTCGCGAGAGTTTGTTTAATAGGAGCAAGAAGCAAAGTTTCCTTACTTTAGCAAAGGAAAACCAGTCTCCTCTTGGTTTACATCAAAATCCTCCGACATTTTTCTTTGCAAATCTTCGGTTTGTACTTCTAATTCGTGACCGATTTGTGGACTATTCAACTGCAACACCCGCTGAGTGCCATTAAACAGCTTGAAAGTTCAAAGACAAATTTTAATATAACTCCGACTGGATTTGTCTGAAAGAAGAAAGTCATAAACACCTAGGATGCTTCGAGGGTAAGTAAAACACAAGTAATTCAGCTTTGCCATCACAGAAATAAATTGAATTTTAAAATAGATTCAAATAGCAAACAGTTCCTTAAAGGGATAGTTCACCCAAAAATGAAAATTAGCCAATTATTTACTCACCCTCAAGCCATCCTAGGCATATATGACTTCCTTCTTTCAGATGAATCCAATCGGAGTTGTATTAAAAATTGTCTTTGATCTTCCAAGCTGTTTAATGGCAGTCAGTGGGTGATGCAGTTCATCAGTCCAAAAGAAGTGAAAAAAGTTTCCTTACTTTAACAGTGCATGCGCAGACCGGCGCATGCGCAACGCCGACGTCCTACGTCATCCGTGTGCTGCTTCCGTGTACAACAGTGAGCGCAAGCTTGATTTAAATTGATTGTTACATTTTAAATATTTTTCTTACAAAAACGCATTGATTCGCTACAGGAGGCCTTTGTTAACCCCCCCGCAGCCATGTGAGGCACTTTTTATTATGGATGGATGCGCTTTATTTCACTTCTTTTGGACTGATGAACTGCAACACCTGCTGACTGCCATTAAACAGCTTGGAAGATCAAAGAAAATTTTTAATATAACTCTGACTGGATTCGTCTGAAAGAAGAAAGTCATATACACCTAGGATACCTTGAGGGTGAGTAATTCATGGGCTAATTTTCATTTTTGGGTGAACGAACCCTTTAAAATTGTAGTATTTCAAATTATGTACTCTATTTTTTTTTTAGCAAACAAAAGCAAGTCTTGGTGAGTATGTGGTGTCATTTAAAAGCATTAAATTGGACCAACCCCGCATTTTTGAACAGTGGTTTATATTGAGTAATTGTGTGGTATTGTCCAGACCCTGTTCGTTTAGCTGTGGTGTCTGTTAAATGGGGTTACTTGTCTTGTGTTTGTTTTGTCTGTTTATCTACCTGTATCTAATACCAGCTCAACTCACCCTCAAAGCACACCTCTGAAGTAGGTTAAACCTGTGTCTATACTGTGCTTAACACAGTAGGTTACCCTGAAATTCTCGCTTGCTCTGGATTTGGTGTGAGTGTGAGAGTCAGTTGTGTTTCTTAACCCACAATGAGACAGCTGCTGCAGAACTGACAGAAGGGGAAGTGAAGGAGGTAGACGCCGGCATGTGTGCTATGAATTCTGAGTCTGTGGATACATTTAACTATTGAGCCTCAGGCAGGAAAAAACTTGATTGTCTTGTATTAACACATACATGTAAGATAAACAAATAAAAATGTGTACACTTACAAGTGCTTGAGGGCTGATTTCTTGTTGTCGCGGTGAGTGTATTTCCTCCGGAAATTAGTCAGACCGGTATGAACGCCTGATCTGTGTCCCTTTTTGCTTACAGTTGTCCTATATATAATGTTCAGCTGTTTTTTTTTTCAGGTTGAGGTTAAAGAATTTGAAAGTCAATAAATTAGCATGATTGAAACCAATGAAAAAATAATTGTGCTGCCATGTTAATCGGTGTTTTGAAATACTGAGTATGAATTTTGTGCTGTTTCAAAACCTAGTGAGCCACTGACACCCACCAATATGGTGGACATGGTAAGAGAAATGTCAATTATACGCTACCATTCAGAAGTTTTAACTAAAGATGTGCAAAGTTGATCTAAAGTAACTTTGACATTACAAAGTTTTTTTTTGTTTTTATATGCTGTTGTTTTTAACTTTGTTCATAAAAGAATCCTGAAAAAACACCATGGTTTACAAAAATATTTAGCAGCACAACTGTATTAATCATTAGTAAGAAATGTTTCTTGAGCACCAAATCAGCATATTAGAATGATTTCTGATAGATCATGTGACACTGAAGTAATGCCTGCTGAAAATTCAGCTTTGCATCACAAGAATAATTTATATTTTATAATATATTAAAATAAGACAATATTATTATTATTATTAATATTTTATTAAAATAAAAGAATTTTAAATTGTATAACATTTCACTCAATTATTGTGTAAATATTTCTGTATTTCATAGTTTAATTAGAAATAAATTAGTGCACCCAGTATTTGTGTGCTCTTTGTTTTCTTTTTACAGCATTAATGTTTTAGGTTAGCAGTATGCTAAAGTCAAATTCTATTCAAATCAATCATGATGCATTGCAGTTTCCAATATGTGAGTGCTATTTGTGTAGTGTGCAGAGTAATTAATGAGGTTCTATGATGTCTAGGATACTGCCTTTATAGGGAACTCTCTAGGTTTTAGAACAGCGCTAAAAGATATAGACAATTCTAAGCAGATGCCGGTCTATTCAGTCAGTATACAGTAAATAATGTTATATACTTAAATTTTTCTTGGTAATCAATAATATCGTTCTCTTTATAACTGTATAGTCCCATATTACTCTTTAACTACATGCATTCATGTTCCATCTGCTTTGATCCATGAGAGGAAGAGGGAGTGCTGATGTAGCAGTTGCTTGTGAAGATGCTGAGTCGTGGTTTGTGTGTGTTGCTCCATCCTAAAATGGCGGAGAAGCTGGAGAGATTAGAAATTCTGTGACGCATTCATGTTCTGTCTCTCTCTTCTTCTCTCATGGCTCCTTTTATATCCTCCGTTTTACATTTCCTGTTATCTCCTGAATGCTCAAACATGTGCTTGCCTTTATGTAATCTCTGAAATCCTTTCTTGTCGTCATCTGCTGTTTAGTGTGTTCTGTTCCGTCCAAATAACAAAATGACATATTTGTCATTTTTATGAAAGTTTGATTATTCATAATCCGAGTCGAAACGCATGATTTGTGGAGTTAAATCCAATGAGTGCCGGTTTTAGATTTTAGATTTTAAAACTGATTTTAGATTTTACTAAGTGAAGACTGGTGTTAAGTGAGCATAAAACCTAACTGGCATCTTAATTAAAAGCAGAAAGCAGTGCAAACTGGGTTAGTGGGTCAGCGTGAACGTCGCAGTAGCAAGGCAAAGCAAGCAAGCGAGCGGCCTTCTGCAGTGTTGTGTAAGGGCTCTCAGAAGGAGATCAGCTATTTAGTATTGCAGAGATGCTGTCGTGTGTGTTGTTTGGTAAACCAGGGCCAGCTCATCTGTCATACTGAGTGCTTGTGTGTGTGTGTGAGAGAGAGAGAAAGGGGCAACACATCCAAATGAAAGTCTGGCTCTCATTGGTTGCCCAGATACATGAGTGTAATCCCTTCACACAATACTGTGCCAGCCAAAACACTGACTGCACTGACCGTACTGCAGCATTGTGATTTATCTTCCCTTTCTTTCTCTTTCAGGTCTGCGGGTTGGGCAGGAAACCGTTACCTCATACCCGCAAGTTGCCGTGGTGCGCGTTCCGACCCCATGGGTCCAGTCGGACAGTGACATCACCGTTCTGCGTCACCTGGAGAAGATGGGCTGTCGTCTGGTCAACCGGCCTCAGGCCATCCTCAACTGTGTCAACAAGTTCTGGACCTTCCAAGAGCTCGCCGGGCATGGAGTGCCTCTGCCAGACACGTACTCGTATGGTGAGAGATCATCTTTATGTCTGAAACACGCCAATCCCCAATCTGTAATTAAAAAATAATAATAATAAAGAAATGGTTTTCTTGTTTTACACAAAGATGCACTGGTATGGAAATTCTTGCCAATATGGATAACAAAAAATACATATTGTTTTAAAATGCACTACTGTTGAGAAGTTAGGGGCAGTAATTATTTTTAAAAGAAACAAATACTTTTATTAATCAAGGATGCATTAAATTGATTAAATGTCTCAGGAAAAACATAAAAATAGCATTATTTAGCATTTATTTTTTAATAGCATTTTTATTTTATTTAAAATGGAAAACAGTTGCTTTAAATTGTAGTAATATTTCACAATATTACTTTTTTTTTTCTGTATTTTCATCAAATAAATGCAGCATTTGGTGAGCATGAGATTTTTTTTTTCTTCTCCAAAATGTTTTCAAAAATCATACCAACCCCAAGCTTTTGAACAGTAGCATATGTGTGCGCGCTCCTGTATTTGTCATTCATTCATACAGACAACTGCTGTTTATGTGACCGTCTCCTGTTTAAAGAATGAAAGGGAAAGCCCTCATGACTAGCTAAAGAAAACCAAAATGAAAAACCAGAGAAAGGGAGAGAGTGAAAAGGGGAGGGGGTGTATAACAGCAGTTACAGCTGCTGTAGTGACGTGTTCCTGGCAGAGCCGGTCTGACATACCCTGCATTTTCTCTCTTTCGCCCCCTCCCTTTGAACGCTAGTTCATCTGCTCAGCTCAAACCAGCCAAACACATTCTGCATCCTAAAGAATCTTCTCTTCAAAAGCATGAAGAATATTTAGACTTCAGCATGTAGAGGGTACAGAAACATCCAGCAGTTATACTTACTGCGGTTTGCGTTTGAGCTTAAATTATATTTCCACCCACTCCTTCACATTCTCTTTCTCCTTATACTCTTTCCATACGCTTCTATTTGTTTAATCTTGGACATGTTGCGTTAAATGAAAATAGTTTGTCATTTACCATACTAACGGTTAATTTCATATGTCGTCTAGCATTTTGAATATAAATACAAGGTAGAAAACCATTAAACCTATATATTTTCCCCCTTTAAACATCTTTAGCTTGTAGCCTGTTTTGTTCAGATTAAGTATGTCAAGTCATAGACTTGAAAAATGAAATAGCATTAAACATAAATAATAGAACTACTGAACTCTGGCTATGAACTGTCATTTGTCAATTAATGACAATGTTACTATTTACTGTACCGAGATATCAAATTTGCTGCATTCTTAAAAGGGGAAATTAAAATGAATTTAAAGTATAAAGCTAGATAATGAGGGAAGTTTTTATAAAGTGTTACAATGTTACAGACATGTGGCCGTCATGTTTCTCCTAAAACATCTTCAAGCCATTAACCTCGAAAAACTGGCCACGTAGTTGGACAGAATGCTGTCCAGGAAATGGGAAACATTGTGCGTGGCAAAAAAATCTGTCAGTCTTGCAGTCCTTCTCATGTGGATATTGAATGTCTCATTGTTGCTTGTTTCATTAGAGCTGTTTGCATCTTGCTCAGGAATCTCTCACTCAAATTAAATCTCACTTTTAATTACATTCATTACATATTCACTAACCAACATCTGTGTGTGTCTCCAGGAGGACACGATAACTTCCGCAAGATGATCGATGAAGCCGAGCCGCTGGGTTACCCTGTGGTGGTGAAGAACGCTCGTGGACACCGAGGTAAATCACTGATTCTAGAACAGCCGTGTGTATAATGGGTCCTTTGGGAACTGAATCTGGGTGCTGACAAAACTTCAGGAGCCCTGAGAACTTCTCAAAGTTATACAGCACGCAGGATCTCTCCAAATAAAGAAATCAGGCAGCTTAGAAATAGGGGTTGCACCACTGATCTATATATAATGACTGGATCGCTCATTGCGTTCTAATCTGCCGACAGGCGGTGAAGCCACCCGAAAGTGTTTGAGCCGCCATCTTACTATTGAGCACCATGGAGTCACAGCTAAAACACTGACTTAAAATCACCCGATTTGAAGCGAATCAGTCACACGGGATTAGTTTTTATGTTAGGTGTATGTAAATTAATTTTTACTTCAGATGTTATCGGCAATGTTTATGGTCTTTTTGGGTAGGATAAGCGATATATTTAAATTGTTTAGGTGGGTGTGTCTGCTGCGGGACATTAACTGATCCAACACAAAATATAGCCAATTTCTTTATTTATGTAATTATTCAGGAATTATTAAACATGAATGTATTAGTATCAGAAATTTATTTGAATATACAATGAATAATACAATAGCCTATGTTACTTTATTGCTGTATGTTGTACTGAAATGAAAAGCTTACCATGCATCATCTTAGAAATAAAGCTTCATGTCTTTAAGTCCGTACTGTATGTAGTCAGTTATTTCTCTGAATAAATTATGATGTGTATATTTTTAATGTCCTGATTGAGCAGCATCTATTTCAGACTCTCCAAGATCGCGCAAATATGTTTACTAGCATTACCGTTTCCATGTAAAACGTTATGTATATGCTAAATTAATCATTAATTTAAATCATTACCTGCTTCAAAACAAATGTTGTTAAAGGGATCCCTGGGTATTAAGACTTGTATGGCTTAATATAACGTAAATGATGTCTCTTCCTGAAATATGTAGTAGAAGACCCATTAAAGATTTATGTTATTTTCGAATACAAGGCGAATGAATATGTGTAACTGAAGCATAAAAGCATAAATCTTCAGATTTCAGAATGAGCACTTTATCATTTGTTATATACTGTATATGTTAAGGTCGTGTCCGTCTGATGTTTATCCTGTTCATCTGATGTTCGCTACTGTAATGAACTTAACTTTTTAATAAGCAGGGGAAATTCCCGACATTAAAAAAAGAACTGTTCACGTCTAGGGTGTTTGCATTGTAAGAATGTACAGGGATACTTCAGATTTAAAAATGCTAACTTGTTAGGTAATGTTTTCTCATTATATTTGTACGATTTCCTATTAATTCAATGGAATGTATTGGAATAGTGGGGAATACCAATATGGCGTTGCAGCGGCTTCACTTTCATGACGTCATGAGCAATTCAGTTCTCTTATAGATCAGTGGGTTGCATCGACTAGTCGACTTTAATGCTCTGCCATGACGCTTTAAAGGGTTAGTTCACCCAAAAATGAAAATTAGGCTGTGTTTTACTCACCCCAGAGGCATCCTAGGTGTATATGACTTTCTTCTTTCAGACGAATCCAGTCGGAGTTATATTAAAAATTGTCCTGGCTATTCCAAGCTCTATCATTGCAGTCAGCGGGTGTTGCAGTGCTTCAGTCCCAAAGAAGTGAAATAAAAAGCGCCCATCCATAAAAAAAGTGTCTCACACGGCTCCGGGGGGTGAACAAGTACACCTCAGTTGTACGCGTTTTGAATAGCGAATCGATGCGTTTTTGTAAGAAAAATATCCGTATTCAAAACATAATAATCACTTTAATCTAGCTTCCGCTCACTGTTGTAAAAGGAAGCAGTTCCGGGCGGATGACGTGTGAGTTCATCGCTGTGCATGCGCTGGTGAGCCTCGTGAAAACCAACGTTTGTTTACAGGATCAAAGGAAGCAAAGTTTCCTTCCTTTAGCAAAGGAAAACCAGTCTCCTCTTGGATTATATAAAAATCATCCGACATTTTTCTTTGCAAATCTTCGGTTTGTACCTCTAATTCATGACCGGCGTTTTGTTTTGTTGTCTCTCTGCGTTCGTTACTAATCACGCTGCGCATACGGCTTATGACGGATACCGGAAGTGAGAGAAAAGTGTTTATTACGTTTGAAATATGGATATTTTTCTTACAAAATGGTGAGCCTCGTGAAAACCAACGTTTGTTTACAGGATCAAAGGAAGCAAAGATTCCTTCCTTTAGCAAAGGAAAACCAGTCTCCTCTTGGCTTATATCGAAATCCTCCGACATTCTTCTTTACAAATCCTCATTTTGTGCTTCTAATTAGTGACTGTTGTTTTGTTTTGATCTCTCCCCTGCACTTCCGCGTGCGTCACTTCTGAGCAGCGCATGCACAGAGCTAACCTCATACGTCATCCGCCTGGAAGCTTGACGTTGATTAGTCGCTGGTCCTATAGAGGGCGCAACAGGATAAGAAATCTTTGAAGGACTTCCACATTTACGCTCCGCTTTCAATCAGTTAAAATGACAAATAAATGCATACTCTGAAAGCGCTCCACAAGACATGTGTGATTATATTACTGGATGCTCGAAATTGAACGGGAGAATGCACATTTTAAACAGCTTATTGTACATGTAAGTTAACCACCGTACTAATCTAATGTGCTGCTGCGTTGTAGCACACATGCCCGTAGCCAGCTATGAGGTCACCGAGGTCCGGACCTCTGTATTTTTCTGAGGTGTACTTTGTGAAATAATTGCCTAATATACTATTAACTCTTCCTTCGTGCTGCAAAGATAGTGCACAACACCAAGATCAAACTTAAGCCTCCTCATTTGAGCTGCCTCAGCCGTCTGTCACGGTGACAGCCACCGCTTGTCAATCTCAAAAATATTTGAGATGACCAATCAAGTAGGCGGGCTTTGTTCACAGCAGCTGCATAGCGCGAATTTCAACGCGACGCTTCAGTTAGCGGCTATAAAGTGCGGGATAAGATGTAAGTAGCCAAACATTTAATATCTGACAGCTGTTTTACGATAGAAATGTTAAACGCGAACTAAATAAAAGTTCAACTAACGAACTAAATATGCAAACTAATAAACCTGTCTAATATCTCCATTTTGAATTGACGTGATTCATGTAATATGATTCGTAATTGTCAATGTGAGGGGACAAGAAACGAAACCGTTTTCATATTAGGCATGATTAATAATGAATGGGCCTATACTGTGAATTTATTAAACTTAATTACGTAGCTTTCCTGGTAGCCTTCAGTAAAGTATCTTGTTTAATAAAACGATTCATAAAACATAAATATCAGTCGACCATTTGTTTACTTTGTTCACTGACAAAGATGAAAATGAAAATACTATCAATCAAAGCAGAGAGCTGGTATTGACAAATAATATACTGCCCACTGACATGGTTTTAAATTGTTATCCAAATGTTTGGCCTTTAATTATTTCCTTTTAAAATGCAAACATTATGACTGTCAAAATGGCTGAAAAACTAAATAAGAATTTTATACTTAAATATTATTAATAGTATTCGAGTTATATTCAGATTTAAAAGTCATAATTTCAGTTAGGGGGAAAAAGCTTTTGTCTCCTGTGGTGGGGGTGGGGGTAGGATTTGGGACCTCAGTAATTTTAAAACCCTGGCTGCGGCCCTGGTAGCGCACATAGGCTACAGACAGTAGCTCGTACATCATGCACAGATCGCGAGCACACAATCATTCAGCACTGAAATGTATTGTCAACACTGTTCTGTGATTTCTCAATAAAATAGCTTAGAAACTGAAAAGTTCAAGCATATATTTCTTAACTAAATCCCACAGCTTCACTACTAGTAGAGAAACGCTGCCAGGTAGAATTAATTCACACACGCAATCGCTCTCACTAATGCATTCATATGAATGTAATCTTTACTGTGCTACTTTATCTGCATCTGATTTAGAACGAGCAGAAATCTGTGAGAAATATAACGACCCAAAGACAAAAGAACTGATAAAAATGAGCTGTTATACGAGCAATAGCCATGTGGGCAGCGCTGTGTCATATGCCATAGCTGTACACAAGGTGTTTGATTCTCAGCTACAGGTTCAGGCTTATTTGTTCATCAATGACGTCATCAGCGACTAGTCGATGTCGATTCGACTTTCATCACATAAAAATCTACTTTAAAAAAAATCCGAAGTCATTCAACCCCTACTTAGAAACATCTCTTTTACCTTAACAACAAAGGTAGTCTTTCTTTCTCTCTCGCAGTGCACATAAGGCGTCTTTGTCCTGCACAGTTTTTTTCAAGCACATTTGAAGTGTGTGTGCGGCTCTGAATGAACTCTCACGGTCAGACCTTATGATGTAATATACTGTATTTATATTTTATTTTTGTGCTGAAAAATTCTCCCAGATCAGCCCAACCAACTTGTGCATGTAGGTTCAGAATGCTGCACTTCATGTCTGCAGGTTTTGTCAGAAATTGAAAACGTGTGAAACTTGAAAATTGTTGTTAAATAATACAATTACAATGATATTTATTGTTCTGTTAATTTACAATAGAATATTCATTTGCCATTTTATTGATACAAATCTATTAATAGAAAATTAAAATGGTATTTTTGTTCATTTACAATGGGATATTCACCATTCACATTCAATTCTATTAATAGTAATGAACATTTTCACCTAGTGAATGTTTTTGGTTGTTGTTGTTTTTTTCTAGTTATACTCAATTATTAAAGAGAAATCTCTTTTTTTTTTCTTTTTTCTTCTGTCTCTCTCTCGTTTTTAATCAGTATCTAGTAGTGACCATAAACTGGGAAAGTCATGGAAATTATTGGTTAAAGGTATGGGAACACTGGTTATGTAAAGCAGGACTTGTGCGCTCACATTTCAGTCAAACCTTTGTTATAAAGGGTATCGGGTCGATGAACTACAGATGAAAATAAAACATTGCACACAATGTTGACCTTTGTCAGGCTGTGACATGTTTTAAAAGGTTTCCTCTGACCCATGGGGAATTGGGTGGGGTGGCGGCAGCCAGCAGGAGAGTTCACAGCCCTGCTCTATCACCTTTGTAGCCTTGAGCGAGACACTTAACCCCTGGTTGCTCTAGGGGGCCTCTCCCTGCAATTAGTGTCTTGCGCATCTCGTTGGATCTGTTAGATGGCAATTATATAATTCTCTTCTCCTCCCCACCTTCTCTTTCTCCTTTTGTTCATTGAAAACAAGTTGGACATTCTGCATGTCCAAATACATGCTGCTACACTTGGCTGTGTATTTCTTATTATGTGAATGGGGATGAATTTGACATGAATTCACATGATTGTCATCACCTGAAGCTTCATGCATTTAACCCTGGACTGTTAAAGGTTGCTCCTCTTCTATTTGGTTGCTATGCAGAGAAATCAATCATCAATCGAGCCTTTGGCAATGACACTTTGAAACTTACATATTGCATAACTTCCTGAAGTAGCAGAAGACACATTTTGTTTAGGCAGTTCCTACAATTAATTCTGAGAATTGTAGAGCAAGTCAAGGCACTTTTTTCCCCCTGTTAAAACAAAGTGACGTGACATGTGGCCAAGTATGGTTACCCATACTAGGAATTAGTGCTCTGCGTTTAACCCATCCTAAGTGCACACACACACCGTGCACACACACCCGGAGCAGTGGGCAGTAGGGCTGTGCAATATATCGAAATATCGCAGATGTACATCTCGCAATATGCATATCGCTACAGCTTGCAATATTTGGGGCCATGAACAAAAGACAAAGAGAAAATCACTCACTGCTCTTACCTAAATAACTTTTGTAGCTTAAATAAGAATCAGTGCATATTGAATTCAAGGAGTAAATTCTAAGCAGTTTTTTATTTTTCCTTTTTATTATTCAGTTCCTAAACTCGTATTAAAATGATTACACTAATGTTAAAATGACATTTTTATGTAATATTAGAGTAAAACACTACCCTTCACTTTCAGAAGTTGTTGTAGGGGTGCTTTCTTCTCACAAAAAGTGAAACATGTATGCTAGTTATATTAGAATCAGAATCAGAAGAGCAAGGTGGAAACCTCACTACTGATAAATTTGCACTTAGTCAGAATTGGTGTATTTAATGGTGTCACATTTTTTATCTGTACAGGTAAAGCTGTCTTCCTGGCTCGGGATAAGCACCACCTCTCAGACCTGTGTCATCTGATTCGCCATGACGCCCCGTACCTGTTTCAGGAGTATGTGAAGGAGAGCCATGGACGGGATGTGCGAGTGGTTCTAGTTGGAGGGAGAGTGATCGGATCTATGCTGCGCTGCTCTACCGACGGACGCATGCAGAGCAACTGCTCACTTGGTACGCAATCGCACACTTACCTCGCCTAAAATATTTGACTTGTGATGTAAAATTTCATTATGTATAATATGTAGAATTTTTGTGGCCTGTTTTTTAAGTGTCTCAATAGTTATTTTAGTACTATTTATATACTGTAATAGTGTTTTTTTTTTTTTTTTGAAAATAGCTTTTTTTATATGATTTTAGTTTTTTAGTTTTAGTACAGGTTTAAGTTTTTTTTTTTATTTTTTTTTTTATATGTGACTTCAATTTGTTTCCTATTACAGTTTCAGTAATTGAAGTTTTTTTTCATCAAATGTTTCAGCTTCAATTTAGTTACCAATTTTAATTTCTCTAGTTTTATCTGACAACAACACTGCCCATAATTTCCCATTAGCCTCCCTGCTCATGATTTCACTCTCTTTTCTAGGTGGGGTGGGAATGATGTGCCCCCTCAGTGAGCAGGGGAAGCAGCTGGCAGTGCAGGTGTGCAATATTTTGGGGATGGACGTCTGCGGAATCGACCTGCTGCAGCTAAATGATGGTTCCTTCGTGGTGTGCGAGGCCAATGCCAACGTGGGCTTCATCGCATTCGACCAGGCTTGCGGGATGGACGTGGCGGGCATCGTGGCCGACTACGCCCTCTCCCTCCTGCCAAGCCGCCTCAGCAGGAAGATGTCGCTGCTCTCCGTGGTCTCCAGCACCAGCGAAACCAGCAGCGAGCCTGAGGTCTGTATCCCGACTGAGGTGATAATCCCCACAGAGGTGTGTATTCCCAATGAGATCTGCCCGCCCGGCGCTTCCTGTGCCATCCCTGACGGCGTCTCCGCCATGAGTACAAGCTCCACCTCCAGCGAGAGTGAGGCGGATCTAACCGAAACAGGCCCCGCTCCCGTCACAGCAGATCCCACCTACAATATCAACTCCCTTCTCGCGAGTGAGATAAAACTGTTGACTGAGTGAGCTGGAATTACAGCCACAAACACACACACACAGATATACACAATCATCAAAGAGCGACACATACTGAAGTGGACATTATACATTCAGATGCACATGTGTAATCATACTAACCCTCCCTGTAAACCCCCATCTGAGGCTGCTCCCCTGATGTTTTCGTCTCCATTGACAGACTATAGAATTATACAAGCGTACAGTGCAGTCGGAAGTGCACTAGATAGTGTACGCTCCAGCCTGGCTGTAGTGCACCAGCTGAATATGCGTTTGCCACTGTAATTTGAGGGTGCATGCTCTGTAGAGTGGTTTTACCGGGACGTGATTCCCAAATGTAACCTTTCAACTACCATCAACTGGATTCTTATGTACATACTGTGGGTTAGGGTACACACATACTGACATACACTTAAGGACATACTAAAGTCTGTATTATAGAGAGAGAATGAATGAATTTTGTCTGTTACAAACCTTGTGGTAAAGCCTGGCTGAAGGTATAATGCATTGCATGTGTGGGGCGAGAAAGAGGAAACCGAATGGACCCAAATTTCAACTGCCCACCAGGATACAAAGGCACATACCTCCCAGCCCTCAAAAAGCCCACACAGACAGACACATAGAGGGACCGCAAGAACAAAAACTGGAAAGCTGTGAATATTCTCATCCATCCCAACTCTTTTAAAAAGCATGAATGAGTATGAGTTATTTTAGTCTGTTGCAGTGGCTGCCTGTAGTAAATGAATTACTGCTGATCAGACAAGCGTAAAGGTTTCATTTGCTTTGCCGGTGTCTGTAAAATTGAATGACTGATGTGGGACCCGTTTTGAATTACCTTCTTTAATGTGTAAGTGAGGATTTGGCCCATAGGAACTTAATTCTCACAGGCATCTTCTGTCTGGTAATTCTGTGAACGAGGCGGTCATTTTAGAGGTCCACCATCTCAAACTGGTTAAAGCACTCTGTTTACGGATCAATAGTATGGAAGATATTGTGAACTTGCTGAGCTTCTTTTTCCAATGTCTACTATGCAAATCTGCTAATGACCACATGCCGATCTGCATGTCTGCCACCCCAAAAGCAATTTCCCACATATTAGAGTCTGAACAGTGAGTTGCATAGAAATAGAGCAAGTAGACTTTTAAATACTAATGTTTTTACCACAAGGGCTGAACAATTTGCCAACACTAAGCGCTGATGATGAATAAGCTATTTGTCTTCAACGATTTGTTTGTACTGCAACAATAAAACTGAAGTGTCAACTCAAACGGGTGCTACAACTGCTCTTAATTCAGCCCAGTGGTCTAAAAGCCAATGATAACCTGAAAGAAAACCAGGAATTGTATTGATTTGCGCTAAATTAACATGTACTCGGAGTTATATCTGGACACCACACATTTCTCATAAGTCTAATTCTTCTATTTAAACTTAAGCAACTCTATTCACGTCCCTTTTTCTATCTGGATGTGTCTCAAAATCCACTAATTCTTCATTTCAGCAATTCACATTGAGTCTTAAAGATTCCATACAGCAAACCTAAAGTGGACCAAGCTCACAATCCAAGCCAGCTCAGAATGGTTTACAATGTTAGACGTCATAGAGTTTAGATCAATTAAATGTGAGTCCGGACTTTAGATGAAAATTTGTTTACATTAAGATGCAATATAGATTTGAAATTTAGAGTCAACTCAGGGAAGCAGCCTTGATCAAATTCCTCTCCTTGGAAACATGTGACACATTCATGCTAGACAGTCCTGCCTATGTGTATCAATAAACAAAAGGACAAAGCGTTATAAAATATTAAGAAACAGATGCTGTGAGACCTGATTGTTACATGCACTCTTTTCTTGTTTGTTTTATAATATTTAGTGTTCTGTTGTCTTTTCGTAATTTATCATTTCTTTTTTTTTTTTTTTGAGAAAAAGGAAAAACTGGTTTATATGCGATAATCTTGCTTGGGAAAGACTGAAGCGTGATGAAGGGTTTTGGTGTGAGTTTAACTAAACAGCCGTTGACCACCTGAGACGCACACACACACTCTTCTCACCGCCCCCTCTCAAGCGTTGTGATTTGCTGTCTTGTGTGTGAGGTGTTCCATCATTCCATGCAACCAGAGACTTGCACCTCCACCTCTTCCCACACAAGAACAAGTGTCCCTGTAAACTCTTGACACTTTTCGGTGTTCGCGATAACGCACCATATGGTTGTCAAACTCTTACAAGCTCTGCCTCCACTTCCTAGGACAAAACAGGAAGTCTTTTCTCCCTTTATGTTACGTATCAAACCTGTGTGACTCCAAATCGTAACGCTTCATAAAATGCAAATTCAGAATGGAGAGGTCAAACTCCCATGACAGTAGTTCAAAAACTCGCATCTGAACTGAGAGCTACAATAGCATCATCAGATCTGCCACTTGTCAATATGAAGTAATGCTCAATCTGATTGTTAAGGTACCCCTATACCCCTCGACTTGTCGAGTTGGCAATTAACTAGCGTCACCTAACTAAAACTGAAAAACAACAGTTGCTGCTAATGAACACTCTCTGGTATGGAAAAGGGAAATGTTTTGAGACTCCATGTGTTCATTTCATTGCCTCTTTTTCTTTTTTTAGTGGGAATCTAAATGCCAAAAAACCAAGCAATGTTGTATAATTTAAAACAAGAAATTACTAGTGATAGAACGCTAACATTGATGTTATGTGTTATTACGTAATAATACCAATAATACCAATAAAGACATTTTAAAAATGTCCAGAACGTGAAACTGTGTCAGCTTGTCTATTTATCTCACGTCACAGTTGACAGGCCTTTTTCACTGATCTTTTGCAAGATTTTTTGCAAGATATTTGCTGTAGTCTGCCTCGCTAAAAAAAAAAAGTGTGGTCACATTTACTGTTGTTCTGCAAATTTTCGCATGCTGAGTCCAGTCATTTTAATAGGAATCCACTCGTTTGGCGAAAGATTTCCCTGTCCAGATGGTTGAGTTGGTCACAAATTCACTGGCACTGCATTGACCAACAGAAAGCTGCTTGGTTTCAAAGTAACTTCAGTGTGAGCTCTGCTTCATACATCACTATTGAGACAGTGGACCTTTTTTGCCCAAGAAATTTCACAAATGTGACCTCACCTTAATTAAACATCAATATCTCCCAATATCATTCGATTTAATGAATGAATGAATATGAACACCGTACAGTGTAAAGACACTGTTGTTGTGCTGTATATTATGGTCCTTTTTGATTTTTTGTGTTTGGTGTGTAGGTTAGTGGCCAGTCTCATTCCAAGTGTTTTTCAGCATGTTGAAGTAGATTATGGATTGACTCTCTCAGTGTGTTTTGCTCATTTAACCCCTGGATCAACACCTCAGCCTTCTTCCCATAATCCAAAGCCTATATACACAAACACAAAAACATAAAAGGAATATATACCAAAAACAAAAAAGACAATCTAGTTTCTAAACAGAAAAAGACCAGAACAATATCACCTATTTTATATGATAGTGTGGCAAGTTTAGCGGTTTAATTTAGGGAGTATAGTGTAGTTGAATGAATAATGGGATGTTAACAGTTTGATATAAGAGCTGTGAAGTGATAAATCAGGGAGTTTCGTTGTAGTTTGATCTGAGAGCTGGGAGGTTGAACAAGCTTGCGATAAGAACTGAGGATTTAAGCTGTAGTCTATGTAGGAGGAATCCTACAAGAGAATCCAATTACAACCAGAATAGCAATGGAACAGTCAGACTGTCCATTTCCATCATGGCTTTAGTCTTTAGTGTTAATCTGCACTGAAGTCAAAAGCACTTAAACATGTTCACAGCACAACTCCATCCAAGTCAATGGAATTCAAACGTTCCATCTCAGCACATTCAATGATTTGGTTATGCAGGGTACTGTTGAGGAGATGAGTGTTGAATTCAGGAGCATACTGTAAATGTATCTCATGAAGTGTGAATTGAATACTTTTAATTAGTCAATCTTTATTGTTTACCTTGGTGTAGTTGTTGCATAGTAACCAGAGCATAGCCAGAGAATGAGCCAACATGGCTGACTGGTCAGGGCGAGGCTTCACACACTGTTCCTCAAACTCTAAGATACATCTCAACATCTGATCAGCCTCCACACACTGGGCCTCATCTACACACAAAAGAGGAAGATCAATGTCAGCTATAATAGTCACAGGTGAGTGCAGCAGTTTGATTCTGAGAAACCAGATCTATCTGAGGCTGAATGATGAATTCTGTTGAATAATCTCTAGGAGATATTCAGAAATGTGATCTACCATCTAGTGTTTTGAAATATATCCCTTATAGGGAGTTGCTCCCATCTGTTATTGTTTGCCAGGCTGATAAATTAGCCAATATTTGACCACTTTGAGATTATCTGAATCGGCTGATAACCATGCTAGCTTGGTCCATTAGGAGAAGCATTAACTCTCCCTGGTGCCAGTTTAGAAATCTACCAACAACCACATCTATAAATAATATGTTTTCAAATAATGTTACTGCATAAAAATGTTTCATCATATTTACACTACTGTTCAGTGAGATTTAAAAAAAAGAAACACTTATTTGCATGTAACAGAAATCAAAAGTGACAGTAAAGACATTTATAATGTAAAAAAAGATTTCTATCTAAAAATATTTTTTTAACCTTCTATTCATCAAAGAATCTTGAAAAATGTATCAAGGTTTCCAAGAAAACAAGTTTTGAACAATGATAAGAACTGTTTCTTGAGCAGCAAATCAGCATATTAGAATGATTTCTGAAGGATTATGTGACTGTGGTAAATTCAGCTTTGCCATCACAAAAATAAATCATTTTATTTTTATATTTATCATATATTCATAAAGAACAGTTATTTTAAATTGTAATAACATTAAAATAATGTATAATTATTAGCTTATATCAGTTTATTTTGTTATTTTCTAACATTAAAGTTCATGTATTCCAAACACACATAAAGGCACAATGAACAATAGTATTTTTTATGAATTATGAATTAACATTACGCTGATTTAACATGAAATGTATTAATTTATAAACTAAGTTGCTTGACTGAACAGTGAGTATAGTTTGATGTTAGGCTTCACTGACCACTGACGTGATATGACTGTCTGCCCTACAGAGACAAAAAGAATAAAACTGGCTAGTCTGTGTCCCTGATTGATACCAGGTCATGCTTGTTGTTGTAGCTCTGTGCAGTCACATCCACTAGGACATGCAGAGCAAGGCCGGCTGAGCTGTTTCCTGCTATAGAGTCATCTGGTCAGAAGTTATAATATGATGTGGCTGGCCAGAGGGCGGAACCGGCGCCAGTCTACTGACCTCAGGTCAGTCAGAATGAGGCCAGAGAGCAGGAAGGATCAAGCGTACTGACCACTGACCAGCCAGCCAGCCACGTCACTGTAAGACTTAGCCAAAACACCGCTGAGGTTAATAGGCTTAGAGAGAGAACTAGGGCAGAAGCGCCGCACGTACTCGCGGCTGTGTCATGTTTGATCTCAGTTATCAGTGGAACGAACTAGGTTTTGCTCTAGGACACAACCTCATGGCTCTCAATATAACACTAACCTCATACGAACTACAAACAATACACAATACATACAATCATGATGGTACAGGCTGCTATAAAAGCTTATGATAAATGAAATCCACACCATACAGATGTGACATTTCATGCTACCATAAACAAATTAAATGTATATATCAGGATATAGATTACATATTAAAATAAAGTTTTTATTTGCAAGTTCAAAGTGTAATAGAAATGAATTTATTCATTTTAATTATTATAAAAAAATGCTTATTTTTTATATATCTCTATTAAAAGCCGTCTGTGAAATGAGTGAGTTGTCAGATTTCCGAAAAGGACAAATCATGGGAGCCTGTTTAATAACAGGAGCGTCTGTAAACTTAACGGCCCAATTGTTTGGTGTTTTAGGAACAACAGTCTTTATGATTATGAATGCATACACAAAGCATGGCAACACATCATTAGAGAAGAAGAACAGTGGGCAGAAACCGAAAGTGTATGATAGGGACTGTCAGCATTAAGAAGGTCTGTGTCAAAACAACATAGAACTACTTCTGCAAAGTGACAGCAAACCTCAATATCCACCTTGAAGACAGTGTTTCCACAAAAATGTACCACAGAGAACTTCACAAAGCCGGCATTCATGAAAAAGCTGCAATTGCTAAAACTTTAATAATAGACACCAATGCTAAAATGCAAAGAAATATGCTGTCATGATCTTAAAACCTGGACATTTGGAGCACCAGGATGAATTTTAACATCTGCCCTGGCCAGCTCAATTACCTGACCTGAATATTATCAAAACACTATGGACAGTTTTGGAGAGAAGAGTGAAAAGCTGATTTCCCAAGGCCCCATTTATTAAATATTACTGCAATTCAATTAAAATTTAAATAACTGTTTTCTATTTGAATATATTCTAAATCTAATCTGTTACTGTGACAGCATAGCCGCATTTTCAGCAAATCATTCTAATATGATTCTAATACGATTTGGTGCTCAAGAGACATTTCTTATTATTATCAATGTTTAAAACAGATGTGCTGCATAGTATTTTGGTGGAAAAAAATTTTCAGGGTTCTTTGATAAATAGAAAATGCTAAACAACAGCATCCATTTGACAAAAATATTTTGTAATATTATAAATTTTACTATAAGTGATCAATTGAATGCACCTCTGGACAATAAAAGTATTAATTTCTTAAAACTCAAACTTTTGAACAGTATATATAGTAATATTTCACTAAAAAATGTATATGCTGATTGGATGAATAATGTTTGCAAATGTCTCTTTGTGGAGGTTAACTGTCTTTATCAGTGTTGGGAGTAACGCATTACAAAAGTAATAATATTACAGTAGTATATTACTTTTTGCTGTAACGCAGTAATATAACGCATTACTAATCAAATTTGGGTAATATTATTACTCGTTACAATCTCAGTAACGCAAGTTACAACAACATATTTTAACTCAAAATTAAGTGGTGAATTTACCAACACAGCAAA